AATCCAAGTTGCTGCATTTCTTTTCTACTGCTTCCAAGAAAACATGGGTGGAAGCGAATGTAATAGCCATACGAAATCCCAACAAGAATCCAGCCTTTCCGTAGGACAGGCGGCCAGTTAGCTTATTAGATAGTAGGAGCAAAGTAATGGAAACCCACTCTACATACAAATCCGTCCACTCCTGACGAACAATTTGCCTTCTTGCCAGGACGAGATATGACGCTACAACTACTACACTTCACAGAATATATGTAAAGTAAAGCTATCCCTGTAGCAGGCCGTGGAGGCCGATAGAGTTGTGGGATTTTGAGGTTCCCACATTTTCTAGAAAATCGGCTCATAGATGGCGGCATGGTTGTCAGCCTTACGCGCCGGCCGCCCTTTGTCCCCAAGAATATAACTTGTACTCATTTCTGTTAGAGGCTGAGTCGACCCCAGGGCCATAGTGAGGCTGGAATCATTAGGTCAATTGAAAAAGACCCAATGACCTCATCGGGACTTGAACCGCGACCTTCCGGCTTGTAGCATAGTGCCTCAACCAAATACGCTACCGCTCACACAATATGTCACGGATAATTTCAATGAGTGGACATACACAGCAGCCATATTCCTTGATGTGACCCCAAGCAGGGGAGACCGTCTGGACAATAGGGCTCATACAAAGGCTACCAACTGCTGGAATACCCAACTGCTGGAATACCCGACTGCACACTCATTCTTCTGGATCATGCCTTACTGATCGAAAGTTTAAGGTCAAAATGGAGACAAAAATCAGAATGTAAGGCATTCCATAGGGCACCGTCCTGGTCCCGTTATTTCATTATATATATACATAATGTAATAATATCTATTACGGAGGCAACAATCTGCAGAAGTATATATATGATCGAGAATCATGGCCGTAAAAATGTTAGGCTATCCCTCTAAAATACCGTAAAGGCCTATAGGGTTGTGTGACATCGAGGCTGTAACATTTTCTCTAGACAATGGGCTCATAGTTGAAGGTGAGTTTGTCAGCCTTACGCGCCTGCCGCAATTTACACCCAAGTAAGATTTCTGGTACTTATTTCTACTAGGGCTGAATCCACCCCAGGGCCATAGTGCGGCCGGAAGGATTAGCTAAACTGAAAATATTCACCTCACCAGAATGTTGGTTATAGAAGTGGAAAATGATCATGTGTGTAGAGAGAGTGTAGTAATTGGCTTAGTAAGTTTCCTTGGGGCACCCCTGAGTGGATTTGTAGGCGGTTGAATATTTCCTCATTTATTTTGATTTCGAAAGATCTTTCGCTTGAGTATGACTTGAGTAGTTTGTAATAGTTCGTAGGGAAAATTCTGTTTATTTTGTAAAGTAAGCCAAGATGCCAGACTTTGTCAAAAGCCTGGTCTATATGTAAAAATCCTGCTGTGCAGTACTGTTTGTTATTTAGCGCGTTGGTTATGGTATTTTCTATGCGATGGCTTTGTTGGATGGTTGACTGAGCACGTCGAAAGCCAAACTGAAGGTTTGGTATCCATGTCTGTGGGTTTGATTCTTGGTTTATTTTGTTGAGTATTAGATTTTCGAGGACTTTTGAAATTGTAGGTAGAAGGCTTATTTGTCGGTAGGACGTGAAGTCGGTTGGATTTTTGGCTGGTTTCAAGATCATTATGATTTGGGCGATTTTGAGCGGACGAGGCCAATAGTCCACTCAAAGTATGGCGTTAAATATGTATGGGAGTTTTATTTGGCCTTTCCCTTGTAACTGTTTTAGTATTACGGCTGTGATGTTATCATGGGCTGGTGCCTTTTTTGGCTTTAGAGTGTTTATTGCTTCTTGCATTTCCTTCAGGGTAAAGAGCTTTGGTCTTTGGTGTATTTCTATGAGTTAATTTAGAAGTGAGATTGCTTCTTGCACTTGATTGTTGTTGTGTGGAGTGAATACTTCCTGTAGATGTTGTGCAAATAGGTCAGCTTTTTCTTTGTCTCCTCTTGCCCAGTTCCCTGGGGGTGATGTGAATTTGCATATTAGTGGTGATGCTGATAGGGGCTTTCTTTTGTTTGTTATTGGTTTCCAACTGGAACTGTCTTGTCTTCTGAAGCGCTATAGTTCTCGAGTGATTCGTTCTTTAGTTCTTGCAATTGCGCTTTTAGCTTATTGCTGATTCTGTTGTATTTTGCTCTGCTTTCCGGAGTGTGAGGCCTCTGCCAGGTTGATCTAGCTCTTCTCTTTTCTGCTATTATTTTTTTATTCTCAACGGTACGTTATCTGTAGGGCTCTTTGGATCATTTATGGGGGTTGCTGTTTTGGCGGCTTCTTGTAGTAGGGTGATGAAGTTTTTACATTCGTTTTCTATATCTGTAGGTTCTTTCAGCTTAATTTTTAGTGTTGTGTTGTCTTCTAATATTTTCCTGAAAAGATCCCAATTTGTTTTGGAGTTGTGAAGTCTGCGCTTGAATTTCCTTAGTAAAACTGATGTGCTTATTGTTGCAATGATCGGAGTGTGATCCGATGTAGATCAAGATTTGCATTTGCGTTTAAATTTGACATATAAAGCACACATTTAAGCTATGGAAAATGAAGCATTGTAACACTATGTAGCGCTCCACTGCCGGTCACGGTAGCCGAGCGGTCTAAGGCATGCACTGTCTTCGCTCGCTCGGAAGCCGAGATCGTGGGTTCGAATCCCACTCAGGGCATGGATGTTTGTGTGCGTTTTTCTGTGTGTGTCTACAGGTAGAGGCCTTGCGACGAACTGATCACTCGCCCAAGGAGTCCTACCTTATGTGTAAGATGTAGTAAACCGAAGTGAAACGGAGAGTTTCATGGAGGTAGGCCTAGGCCCAAATGAGGGATGTAGCGCCAATGGAAAAAAAAAATGTAGCGCTCCACTACATCTCTATATGTAGAACACTTAGCAGGAAAGGGAAACTCAATTATGCAAGTCTCCAATCAGCCCCATTCTATTGTATGGAATCCCGCACGCGGTTACACGGGCACAAGCAATATGAAGAAGCTGCAACTCATTCTGAAAAAAAATTATCTCAGGTATCTATAGCAAGGACGGATTATACATACACGTGTATCAATCCACATAACGCTAGACGTCATAGCCTAAAATGACAAGATTTTATCCGCAAAACTATGCCAACGCAAGGGGCATCACGGCGAACTAATCTTAGCGGCACTAGGAAATTATGACATTCACATGGAATACTCATAAAGTACCAACAGATCATAAATAAAGGCAACCTACAAGTGACTCACAAGAGTAAGTGTAACATTTTACAGAAGGAGTAACACCAGAATGGGAAGACCTCAGCTGAAAATCTAGGGTTCCCCCGAGTGCCCGATGCTTCTCTCTACATATCATAATCCAACGATCTGTAAAAATTTAAGAATCAGCAGTACACAGCAGGATAACCAACATTTTTTTATTTATTTGTTTTAATCAGCAATCAGAATATAAATATTATAACCTAATGTTATGGATGTTTAGATGACTTGATAAGGAGTCGTCCAGCCGCGAATCCTCAGTAATTTAAATCAAGTCAATTGGCCAGTTTCGTTTGAGTCGTCTGTTGTCTTCTCAAGTCGATAGCGTCTTTAGGAGTGGGTTTTTGTGAGTTATGATTTTGTTGTGATGTCTGTTGCTTTCTTGTTGGATGACGTCTTGTACGGGAGATATACCGAGATCGGTGTGGAGAGTTGCGTTGGAGACATACCGTGGTGTGTCGACTGCCATTCGTAGGATCTTAGATTGGCTTCTTTGAATTATTGCTATATTACATTTGCTGGCGCAGCCCCATAATTCCAGGCCGTACGTCCAAATATGTATGATCATAGTCTTATAGATCAGAATTTTATTTCCAACTGTTGCTTTTGTTCCTTGACTACATGCTGCTTCCATGTTAATTTGCTGTCTATAGTCATGCCTAGGTATTTTATTTCTGCTTTGTGTTATTTGGATATCACTGATGTATATGTCAGGTGTCGGCTTTTATCGTAGGGTGAAAGTTATCTAGCATGTCTTGTTTTCATTTATTCTGATACGCCACTCTTCGAACCAATTTTGTAATGATCTAAGGTGATGCTGAAGGTCTGTTGCTGCTCTTTATGGTTCTTTGATTACTGACAGTATTGCTATATCATCGGCAAATGTTCCAAGAGTTATACTTGAGGAAGTGGATAGGTCAGATGTAAATAAAGTGTGTAAAGTTGAACCAAGGACACTACCCTGTGTCACACCAGTTTTATCTGTTGTGGTTTAGATTTTTCGTTTCCGACTCTTATTTAGAACTGTCGGTCAATTAAGTACGATTTAAGGAGATTAAAATATGATGGTGGAATAATTTGTTTGATCTTGTATAGCAGACCTCTATGGCACACCCTGTCGAAGGCCTGGCTGACGTCTAAGAACATTGTTGTACAGTAGTCGTCTGTCGTCTAAGGCTTTGTTGATTATATTTGTTATTCGATGAATCTGATGTATGGTAGAGTGGCCTTGAAGAAATCGAAATTGGTGGCATGGAAATCCACTCTTCTGGCCTCAAGCTTTGTTTATTCTTCTAAGTTTTTCGAAAACTTGGGCAACACTGATACGATGCTGATTGGGCGGTGTGAAGTGATTTCTGTTGGATCGTTTCCTGGTTTAGCTGTCGTGATTATTTGTGAGATTTTAAAACGAGGATAACCAACATGGCCCTCAAAAGGGCTTGGTTGTGCATATCTAGGAAAACAAAGGAGAGACGTAACGGGGTGTGCGTATAGAGAAGCGAGCGGTGTGTGAGAGAAGTCTTGTGCTTGCTATATGGGATAAATGTGCAGAGGCAGCAGGGGGAAGTCGGAGGAGCAGGGATAGGGCAGAGTTGCTACTCTGATAATGGTCTTAGCACGTGACCCCACGGAGCACCAAGTTATACAGTCCTCAGTGGGAGCTTTCCCACGATATTTCAGGGATCAGATGAAGTTTCCATGACTTATTTAGAGAGAAACCTTCCTCACTGTTCTTATTCTGGAATGGAGCTCAAAGGCAATGGCCTCCCTTATGATGTGATCCATGTGTCTGAATTGGGTGAAGAGGATGCTGGTGTTGTGTAGACGAATTTGATGCTTTAGTAAGGAATTATCCGGATGCTCTTGACGGTGATGCTGTTTAAAACTCGTGTCTATCGAACAACCTGCGTATCCAATGCAAACCTGTACGTTGTACAGATTTATCACATTACAGTCGTGAAGTTTTAACGGTACTAAGAAATTCATCCTGGACTCTGGATTAATGGGAAACACAAAGCTGTAGAATTCTGGTCTCAATGCTCACAGGAATTAAATCGTCTACATTTATCTGTGGGTATATTTGGAAACCTACAAATGCCACCTCACTCGATACCAGATAGAGAATGTGAAGTCGAATTCAGTAGTTCTCATGTGTAATGAGAAATACACCCAGAATTTTCGAAATTTTGCGACTTTATTGTACGCGTAGAACTGATGTGTATATACGTGATCACAGAGGTAATATAATTTTATAAGAAGACAAAAATAATACGTTATTAACAATTCTTGTGTTCGTTCCCCTTTTATAAACAACACGTCAAACATTGCAAATATTTAGAGTGTAACTGTGAAGATAGAAATTACAGTAGTTGTAACTTCTTAAGGAAGGCCGGCTTGCTACATATTGATATGAAATTTCTTACTTGAGTGACGTCCAGTAGGCAATCTGTAATATAAGACATGTGATTTTAGGTCAGCTGCATACAGTCTCGATTTGAATTTATTTCCATTATTACGTTTCCGTTCCTTATGTGGAGTCCAGCAGTCCGGTCTTTGAAATAATTTTGATGTATTCACTACTTTATAAGACACAAAGTTCTGTGTTCGTACTTTGAAACATAAGAAAACGTGCATGCTCCAGAGCAACATATTCATCCAAGATTAACAATATTTTCTGAGAATGGACAAATTAGTTTCTTAATAACATAAGGAATTAGTTACCATAAGAAGGTCCACACAATTTTCCTTTGATGGTCATTTCCAGAAACTCTTCGAAAATATCCACCGGTTCCGATGTTAAACCGTGAATGCACCAAAGCCTACAAAATACCTGACACGGACATTGTTCTGGAGAAGGGAATCTTAACGGTTATACCCGTCTTTGCCCTTCATCACGACCCTAAGTATTATCCTGACCCTGAGAGATTCGACCCGGAGAGATTCAGTGAAGAGGAAAAGGCGAAGAGGCACAATTATGTGTACCTGCCCTTCGGAGAGGGTCCCAGGATATGCATAGGTAAGTTCAGTCTATCGAAATATTATGTTACCATTCGTATAAGAAAAGCCAGTAAATTGGAGGTTACTGGTGCCAGCACAGTTAGATCAATAACGTGAGAGTATTGCATAACATGCACTTTGTATTGATTTGGTGTTTTCATTGAATTTTGTTCTACTTTCCTGAGCGAGAGGCACAGTACACTCGAGAAATTAATATAATCGTGAGCTCCGTAATTTAAGCTCTTCATTAAATATTGTTAGGATAATTAATACTGGAATAATGAGATGAGCAAGATTACAGTATTAAAGGTAAAGGCAGGGAAATTTACTCAGAAACCTGAAATATAATAAGAAACCTATACAAATCTGCGTGCATAATTCGAATGATTCTTAAATAAATAATGCACAATGATGACGACTGGAAAGATATCCCAGTGACAGGCGACTGTGAAAACGCCAACGAAACTTTCAAGTTCCGTAATTTCATTAGCAAATTAATTACTGCTGGCCCCTCAGGGAGGATACTGTTGCGTCCAGTAAGTTTTTTAGGACTTCCAGACGCCAGGTAATACCGTCGTTTCTCGGTTATGTATTACCTTCTAATATAAGCAATGCTCTTCCTTGTTAGTTAATTACGTTTACCCGCGATGGAAAAATGCCTACTTTCGTTACACAAAGTTACATATAATTAACGGTTATGAATTTTATATATTTAACAAATTATAACCTTCATTCTTAGCGCCATAACCCAATTAAAATTATGGCTCCATGTAATTTTAGAACCTACTCTCATGCGTCAAGGGTCCCTTCTTCGGGGATCAGTTCTTCGGGAATCGTATCTCTTGATGGAAAGTACAAAGTGCAGAAAGACGTGAGAATTTCGTTGATGCTCCCGTCTGGACTCCTGATTGTAATCATAGCTGAAGAGCTTATTCAAACTACGGAGCGGCACTCATTTCTTACGGAACTCTAATTTTCTTTTCCAGGAATGCGGTTCGGTCTGATGCAAACCAAAGTGGGACTTGTCTCTCTTCTGTCCAAGTACCAGTTCAGTCTCAGTGAGAAAACTCCGGTTCCATTGCTTATAGATGCAAAGGCAATATTTTTATCACCTGTTGGTGGAATGTGGCTGCAGATTAAGCAGCGCGCTAAATAGAGCGCTACTCTACAATTTGGAACACTCAGCGTTTACAATAGAAACTGGTTTAAAATTCATTAAAATTCTTTAAAATTGATTTGTCATTACAGAGAGACATATTGTGCTGGATTTATTCATCATATGAAGCGTCTTTCAGATCCATGTTCTCACATTTGTTGACAGTTTCCGAAAT